TTCTGGTACAATTCTGCATCCGTTATCCACTGTGATGTACTCGATTTGCAAATTTTCTAGATCTTTGAACCAAATGAAAAATCGTAAATATTTTGGGGTAAAAAGAATGCGAAATGCAGAAAGGTTGGATTCTGGCTTGACGTCATCAATGAAGTTTCGAAGGGTTCGACATGTTTTTCGGAGACGTTGGCTGTAAAAACATTAAATAATTCTAGAAACTCTGGAAGTTCGTGCTTCCAGAATAGGAAATTTAGGAAATTTGAAAATCAAGAAATTCAAAAAGTTTTAGAATTCAGAAATTCGGAAATTTTAAATTTTTAAAGTTCCAGAAATCGAAAATTCCTAAAAGTTGTTTTTCTTTTATTTTTTTAATTCTGAAGTTCTCAGAATCTCAGAAACTCAGAATCTCAGAATCTCAGAATTTCAGAATTTCAGAATTTCAGAATTTTAGAATTTCAGAATTTCAGAATTTCAGAATTTCAGAATTTCAGAATTTTAGAATTTCAAAATTTCAGAATTTCAGAATCTCAGAATCTCAGAATATCAGAATCTCAGAATCTCAGAATCTCAGAATCTCAGAATCTCAGAATCTCAGAATCTCAGAATCTCAGAATCTCAGAATCTCAGAATCTCAGAATCTCAGAATCTCAGAATCTCAGGATTTTAGAATCTCAGAATTCTCAGAGTCTCAGAATTTCAGAATCTCAGAATCCCAGAACCACGGAATCTCAGAATTTCAGAATTTCAGAATTTCAGAATTTTAGAATTTCAGAATTTCAGAATCTCAGAATCTCAGAATCTCAGAATCTCAGAATCTCAGAATCTCAGAATTTCAGAATTTCAGAATCTCAGAAACTCAGAATCTCAGAATCTCAGAATTTCAGAATCTCAGAATCTCAGAATTTCAGAATCTCAGAATCTCAGAAATTTAGAAAATTTTCAAAATTCAAAAGGTACGAATGTCCGATTTCCTGGATTTCAGAGTTTTTGTTTGATTTGGAGTTAAAGAAATTCTAGACACTTTTCCTGAATATCGGAATATCAGAATTATAAGAGTTTCGAATTTTTCGAATCCAATTTTTCAATTTTTTCGAGAAAAAAAACTCACACAGACACATAATCCAATTTTCCGAGTACCAATTTCATGACTAAATCAGGCATTTCCAGCAGAGATGACATTTTTTCTGAAACTCGAAAAAATATTACTGAAAAAAAGATGAAGAAAATGACGAATGAGAGAAAAATCGGGAAAAAAGCGGATAGAAAAAGAGTGTCTTATCAGTTTTGTTTGCCCTTTTGAAATGATGAAAAATGACAAATCAAACAAAAAAATCAAGAAATCAACCAGATTCTTGAAGTTTCAGAATGATCAGAATCTTATAGTCCTCAATTTTTTTTTCTAAAAAATTACTGATTTTCAAAAATTTTTCTTCAAATTCTGATTTTCAGTTTTTTTTAATCTTAGAATATCGCAATTCCGGAAATACTTCGAGAAATTTTCTTTTTTGGAAACAATGAAAATTGAAAAATGACTTTTTTCGGTTATGTTTATATGCAAATTGGCAGACAGATGCAAACGCGCTCCACTGCGAACACACGATTTCACAACATTTCTCAATACTATTCTTCTTTTCGCTTTGAAAACTTGTATTATTATCGAAATTTAATATTTTCCTACTGCAATGTCTTCTGAATTTTCTCTACTAAATTTTCCGGATATCGTTATGAAAATGATATTAGGGAATTTGGATTTTGTATCAATGTGAGTCTGTCTGTGTGTCCGTTTATCCGAAAATTGTTTTTGAAACTCTGAAATAGGAGCCTCGTAATTTCAGAATTTCACAAAAATTCGAAAAAATTTCGAAATTCAGAAATTCCACTAAACCAAAAAATTTGAGTTTCCGAATTTTCAAAATTTCTGGATTTATTCAATTCCGAAATGTTTAATTTTTTTGAAACTTTCGAATTCCCAAAATATTCCTTTTTTCAGCCAATGTCTCCGAAAAACGAGTCGAGACCTTCGAAATTTCATCGACGACGTCAAGCCAGAATCCAAAATGACCGAATTCCAGCTAGAATTTGGCGATTCCTGCATCAAATTTCTTCCGAAGTTTGATGATAAAAAATATATGCTAATTCGATATCAAAAAGCTCCAAATGGAGGATGTTTCATCTCAACGGATCAATGGAAAAATCAAAAATATCTACCAAATTCCAATTTTTTGAATCTCGCTTTCAACGATTTTCAGACATTTCTGAATTTCTCGAATTCTGGAATTTTCGAAGAAATCGAAATGGATTTTGATACGTCTGATAGCGAATCTGAAAACTTCTCGAAAGATCTATTCGAAAGAATTTCAAAATCCAAAAGTTTCCCGCTCAAAGCCAAAAGTTTTCGAATTTTTTACAATTCTAAATCTCCAATTCTCAATATTTTGCCTTTGATCGATTCTGGAAAATTGGAAGAATTGGAATTTCATGGACTCAAGAAGGGTTTGGATTTTTCGGAAATTTCAAAAATGGATCAATGGAAATCGGCAAAAACATTGCAAATCTCCAATTTCGTCAAAAATGTTCCAGTGGAAAGTTTGATTCATTTCAATTTGATCAAAATGGACCTGTTTGAGGTGTCTCTGGAAATGATTTTGAGTTTAAAAGAGGTAAAAATGGAAATGCGCTCTATTGATAACTAAAAAAAACTTCCAGGCGTTTCTCCGTTCTCCACACATGATGAATTATGAAATTAGCTTTAGAAAATCGGACGCCGAGGAGCATTTAGTGGAGTTATTTGGAGAAGATTTTGAATTGGAAAGCTTTTGGTATTTTGGGATTCCTGACGATTTGGAGAATGTTATTTCGTTTGGTTTTGGCTCGAATTTCATTGTTTTCGAACGAATTTTAAGGAATATAGTTCCGATTGGCGCTAGAACTTTGTAGACGATTTTTTCTAATAAATTATTCTTTTTGAAATTTTTGAGAAGTTTCGAATTTTAGGAATTTTAGATTTTTTTTTCGTGATTTTCAATTTACTGGAGCTTCTGAAATTATGAATCAAAGTTTATCAATTGCCTGAGTTTCGGAATTTCGGAATTACAGGAGTTACTAAACTTTTTAATTGGGTCCTGGGTCCTGGGCCTTAGGTTTTTTATTTTATTTTTTTCTTTTACTGCTAAAGTTTAACATCACAAATCTTATCTATTTTTACTTCACATTGAATCTTTCAACATAAAAAAATTACACAAAAAGTACCCGAATGGTGTCACTAGAGGAAATGCAAATGCTGTGGAAAATGTGATTTTGAAGCGAAAAACAATTTTTGGAAAATTACAGAAAAACGAAGAAAAATGCATAAAATTTGAAAAATTAATCCTCATCATCTGATTCACTCATGCCCATTTTGAGATCTTTATATCCGGTTGGAAGTGCGAATTCCACAATTTTTTTGCCCTCGGAAGCAATAGAGATTTTGATACGGTAGTTTCCCTGAAAAAAATTTGGATATTTTCGAGTTGAAAAAATATTCAGATTTTCGGAAAAAATAGGTCCAGTGGAGTTTCGGAATCTCAGAATCTCAGTGTCCCAAAATCTCAGAATCTCAGAATCTCAAAACCTTAGAACTAAGAAATTTTGAATTTCTGAATTACCGAGTTTCTTTCATTCAAAATTACTTAGTTCTGAAATTCCAAGATTCTGAAGTTCTGAAATTCTGAAGTTCTGAAATTCTGAGATTTTATGATTCTGAGATTCTGATATTCTGAGAGTCTCAGAATCTTAGAATCTCAGAATTTCCGACTTTCCGAATTTCAGAATTTCAGAATTTCAGAATTTCAGAATTTCAGCATTTCAGAATCTCAGAATCGAATAGAACCTCAGAATAATCAGAAACTCAGAATCTCAAAATCTGAGAGCCTCAGAATCTCAGAATCTCAGAATCTCAGAATCTCAGAATCTCAGAATCTCAGAATCTCAGAATTTCAGAATTTCAGAACTTAAAAATTTTGAGTTTCTGAACTTGTGATTTTTTGGAGTTTCTGAAACTCTGAATTTCCGAACTTTTTCAAAAATTTCAATTTCTGAATTTTTGATTTTTCAGAACTTTCGCAGATTACTGTACCTTCAACACATCGAGCAACGAAATTCCCAAAAAACTCGGGGACGCGGGAATTTCCAGTGTAGCGTTGAAATCGTTTTTCTTCTGAAATTTTGTAAAAATATGTAGATCAAACAAAAATTTTTTTCGAAATACCTCCAATTCTTGTAAAGTGTGTAATCCTTTGGTTTGGAGCGTCTCACAAATGTCTTTCGGGACGAATGAGCTCACTTCGAAGTTACTGAAAAAGAAAGTTTTAAGGAGCGTCTCGTTGTCTGCGTCTCTTTCTGGCGAGCTCCCTTAAAGGAGGCCAGACACCAAAAAAAAGTGATCCTGATAATTTGCATAGAGAACCCCCCATGAGGGGTTGAACTCATGACAGGCAGCTCAGGGGTACAGCGCCGCTACCGGCTGAGCTACGGGGGCGCGAAGGCGCCTGACGACCGATGGTCTACATAAGCGCGGCGCGATTTCGTCCCCCGAACTGTCTCCCGAAATTTTTGCTGTCTCGCCTCCTTTAAAATGCTCATATCTCAAGAACCAAGTTAGCTATCAAAAAGTAGTCAACTGATGAAATGATCCTAATGAATTTTTAAACATTTTTGTAGTAGACCAAAATGCCACAGCAATCTTCTGAAAAAAAATTAGAAGCTTTTCAAAAACTCACCATAACGATTCGGGAACGATGAACATGTCCGAGTGTCCATTGAGGCATATATGATCTCCATCCAAAGAGACGCTCACAGAAACTGCTCCATCTTTGACGATATCAAAATCTTTAGATGTGTCCACTTCTCCATGCTTTATCACAAACCATCCAGGCATCACTACGTTCACTTTCCTCTTGTAGCAGGATGGTTTCATATCGT